GCTTTTACCATGCTTAAAAACATGAGCGGAGTAACACAAGATATTAATGTGAGAGTTGGAATGCGCTAAGATTTTGCTATAAGTCCTTAGTTACTTAAAATAAAGACAAGGCTATAATTATTGACTAAAATTGTGTATTAATTTTTAATTAATATTACAATTTTTAAACTTTTTAAATTTTTGAAAGGCTAATTTTATTTATTTTATTAAGATAGCTTTGCCCTCATCCAATACATTTAAACACCGCTAACGCTTGAATTTAACAAACAACTTGCTTATTTATTATTATTATTATTATCACTTTTAGTTTATAATATATTTTTGGTTCTAAAATTAACATAAGTACTTATTATTAAAATAGTATTTATATTTTAAAACATACTGGTCCATTTTGAACTTGAGTAAATGTCAGTGGTGTTACTCCTGACCATTGATCAAAAGCTCGTTTGATTTCAATATCGGTTTGTGTCTTATTGAGTTCTCTAGTAGGATAACTTGATATTTTATATGTTAAATCATTTATCCTCCAGGCATCAGCTAAAACATTAATAAATTTAATGAAAAACAAAAAACAAATTATATGTGACACTTATTAATAAATATTATATTGAACATATCGAAGTTCGCAAGATTATTTTTCTGCATCAAATTTCAGAAAATTGTGAAAAATCAATTATTTTTGTCAATAATCATATTGTACAAAGTGATTGATTAACTATGATTTACGCAATATCTTAATGGTATAACATAATTCTCATTTAAATATTGTACAGAGTGTTTTGTTACTAATATAAATTTTTTTCTTTTAATATTTAATGATACGCAAATGATACGGGAGTCTTCTTCCCGTTGTTAGAGTGACAACGTTGACAAACTGATCCGCAACGTCGCCATCAACGCTGCTAACCTTTTGACGCCCAAAGATCACGCCGGACATCGCGTCGTCGACGCCAGCGAAAGTGCCGCGATATTATGCGAAGATTATTATTATTGTGTTCATCTTTTCGGTTTGTTTTATTTTTTTGTTAAAATAACCTGTTGTTGCTCATTAATAAACGGCCCACGGGTCTCTACCCTCAAAACCAGTGTCGATTACATTTTTTGCGACGTAAGTCGTGCCAATTTTTTTCTTATCATTATTTTGGAAAGTATCACCACTCTTTTAAAAATCCAGACTTCAACTTTTATTTATTGACAAAGTTATTAAAAAATTAATAAAACAATGTTATTACATACTCCTAAAAATGTTAAGTTTTCAAGTTACACACATGCCAACTCGTTCGAAATCTTCAGTTTCAAATAAAACTACGCGTAATTCTACTATTACTGTTGTACCTAATTTCGCAAATAAATATATTTTAANTATTACTGTTGTACCTAATTTCGCAAATGAATATATTTTAAATGAATTATGTAACAACCAGCAAAATATTATTTTTGAAAATAAAGCTTTAGGTAATGACTTGAAAGTTGTCTTGATAATTTTGACATCAAGTTTTAATGCTATTGCTAATGAAGTAATTTAAAGGATAAAATTGTACTATTTAATAGTAAACTTTCTACACTTGAGTCTAACTCACCTTCTGCGCAATGTTCTTTAGTAAATGAAATACTATATAAGTTGGTTGAACATGATCATAATTAAACCTATATTATTGACTATGGTTTCTACATTCTACCTTAATGTGTAATCTTGTACTTTCATCTAATAATTTTGATTCATTTTGTTCCAATAACCAGGTGGTTTAGAATTCGGTTAAGTTCTAGGGAAACAAAGCAAACCCAAATTACTAGTGTTATAATTGAGTATGTATTAAGTAAATTTCTTTATTTTGCTAGTTATAAACTCCTTATTCTCTGTCCCCGCGTCACTATTCCCTTGTTCTTAATGCTCTAGACCTTCCTACTCTCTTTGATGAAAGATGTCGGCTAAATCTTTTCTTTTTATTTAATATCTTATCTAATAAAATTGACCATCATGACCTAATGTCACTAGTTAATTTTAATATTCTTGCTCGATCAACTCGCTCCTCATACATTCTTTTTATATNTTTAATATCTTATCTAATAAAATTGACCATCATGACCTAATGTCACTAGTTAATTTTAATATTCTTGCTCGATCAACTCGCTCATACACTTTTTTTTTATACTCTTAGTTTATTCTCAAATTACCAGTGAAAACACAACTAATCCATCTCACGTGAAAAGCAAATTATCATCATCTTAATTTTGTTCTTACTCATTTAAATTTTGTCATTTATGTAAAGTTATTTTATTTTATTTTTTATATTACTCCATATAGTTAATATATTTAAAACTTAATGATCTTTTATTTATATTTTTCTTCTGTAATTGGGACTAGTCTCGTATTTAATAATAATAATTATAATGTAAAATATTTTTTATTTTCAGAAGTTAATAGTATCCTACTTTCTATAATTTCCAGAAAACAATTTGATCTTANGTATCCTACTTTCTATAATTTCCAGAAAACAATTTTATCTTATCTTATCCCTTCTCTATAACCCTTAAAATATATCGTTTTCGGCTTTGTGCTGCTGCATGATTCACCCATCTATTCCCTTTTTAACCACATATCTGTGTTGCAATCATCATGTTTTCACATCAGTGATATACACGGTTTTCAGTGGGTCTACACTTGCTAATCTGTGCCAGACGGATAGAGTGGCAATTATTTGAGTAGTCACTAATACCTTCCTTATTTTGTGGAGTAGCAGGATACAGCATTAACTAGGAAGTATTGTGTATCGAGGCGGCGTTGGTAGCAATCATAGTTAGTCAAAACCTCCGTTATCGATATGCCATCGTTATACAATAAACCACTGCCATTATAACCATTTGGGAACCATTACTGTCTAATATTATCCGGCCACCATTTAAGAGCCGCTACTGTGCCGAACCGCTATTATTATCAACAATACCAATCGGTGGATTGGTATTGTTGATAATAATAGCCCCACGAGACTACGTTGTGAGTGACCTTGTATATAGGAACCAGGAACCATCATAACTGACGTGCTTCTGCCTACTACATATTTAACTATACAAGCATCGCTATGGCCGAGCACTGCTACGAAATACCTGACAAAGTGCCATAGTCAAATATACCAAGTTTCTGTGATAAATCTACGCGCAGAAGTATAAATATATATATCTTAATAATAAATATATAAATAAATGGACTTGATGCAATTATGATCACCAATAGTTAAAATATAACCACATTAAGCAACCATACATCTTTTCACACAATAAAATTTTGCTAGTAAATTTTAAATATTAAAAATAGTACTGAATTATAAAAATTTTAGATAACATTTTTAGTTACAATATGACAGAGTAATGAAACCAGACAATAAATAATTGCAATTAAAATGTTTAAATTAACACGTGTAAATACTCACGTATTCGAACAAATCTTTTAGATTTATTTTTTTTGACTCTATAGAACTTGTCAATACATCCACATCTTTGATAATTGAAGGCCTTCAAAGTGTCGTTATCCAAAATGCCTAAAAATATCATTCAACTAAATAATTTATAGAAAATTGTTTTTTAATGTTAAGAATTTTATGTAAGATCAAGTGGACTGTAATTTTTACTTTAATTGTGTAAAAATACTATTCAAGATATTCGATTTATATAAATTAAGCAATATTCGATTGTTTAATTTATATTGTGCGATATAATTTAATAAATATTTGATTAAAATGATATTATAAATTGGTTTACTATCGGAATAGGCCACTACCTTACAACTTTTTCGTGTAACAGAATATAATGGGATTAGAATAGACACCGTGCTCTTAGGTTTTTAACTGCATATGACAAAGTATGGCATAATTATCTTTTATATGAATTCAAAAATTCTAACATGACTAGTTCTAATTATTATATAATGAAATGTTTACTCTATTCCCATTTTTTTGTTATTTTATGTTAAACTTAAAAAAATAATTAAAAACCAGTATTAATAAACAACTGAAGAAATACCAGAAAACATGTATAGGAAAATCAGATTCATATGGTATAGTTTTCTAAAATTTGTCTACTATTTCTTGCATGTAACTCAACTATTTTTAGCATTATTAATGTATTATTAGTTTATGGCTATGTTGATATGTGACAGTATTTAGATATCACTTTTGCAGATGAATCGTAATGAATAAAATGTAATAATAATAACAACTAATGCGTGTATGTTTATTTAATAATAGTCACATATCCCTTATCGAACTGACAATTAAACCCCAATAGAAAAGTTGGATAGGAGTAGTGTTAAAGAATTCCTACAGACCATGAATAAGTGTAAATAATTTCATTCAAAGGATTTAGTATGTACATTAGAAATGGTTAGGATTTCTTTTTAGGAATAGTCTTGGTTTCCGATTTGATGGGTTATAGTAATCATATGGATTTTTTTAATTGGTCCTATAATTCAACCAAAAAATTTGGTTGGAGAGGATGACATGTAATTTTCACTAACCATGAAACCTGCTGTGGTTATGCTTAAAGAATATATACAAACCACATTGCATGATTCTATCAGTCAGTGAATTATTTGATGTTCTTGTTTAGGTTTACACGATTTTAGTTACATTTTAAATTGGCCATTTTAATAATTATTATTATATTATATTATATAGTAATATATATATATATGTATATTATTATTATTATTATACAAGATTTCAAATCAATTAATAAAAAATTGTACTGATTATACGTTTGAAACAACTTAATAAAATTTATAAATGCATAAAATTCTAGACTAGGGTCTAGAATTATACCAACGACCAACCATCCTTCAGCTCTGTGATCTCTCGAGACATATTTTGATGTACGAAAATAAGTATTTGAACACCTTTTATATAATAAATGTAAAAGCGAAAATTCATTTTAAATAATTAAATAGTTTCTATGAAAAAAACTATAATTTTCCGTCGAAATAAATTAATTTAATCTAATCTTTATCAAATATTTTTTAATTAGTAAATTAATAAAAATTATAATGCAATATTCATTTTAACTAACCTGTAGTAGGTATGCTAAAATATGTTTGAAAGTCTATAAGTGCTTCTGTAAACATTTTATTTGTTAATTTATGAAGTATCAATGGGTTGTACTGCATTTCTGATTCAAGGTATCCAAATGCAGCCAAATATTTCTAAAAATATACATATATATATAAAAGCAATAATAAATCAATTATATTAATTTAATTAATATTACAAATATTTCAAGTCATTAAATAAGTTTTGAAATATTATTTAATAAGACAAAAATGTTTTTTGTTTTTATTAATCAAATAAATTGTATACTTACCACTGCTTGTGTTTTGTTTTTAATTTCATCAAAAGTATGCACTGGTTTGTACAATAAGATTATTGATATTAATACTGTTATATGAAAAATTTCCATGATGTTGAATGGATTAAAGTTTTATATTTAGTTAGTTTCTTATTGATACTAGATATTTTGTTCAAGAAATATTTATTAAAATAAAGATAAATATATAAAATATTTTATTATATACTAATAATTTTAATACATAGTACTCAAGATAAAATTTAATTAATACATATCACTTATTTTTATAAAACTAAAATAATATGTTACGAAACGAATTGTTAATGAATGAAAAATTACTTCTGCAATAAAAAGAAAAAGAGCGAGTGAGTAGGATGTAGGGGAAAGTGGAAGTGGTTATAAGCTATATGGATTGTGTTGGATTCATTCGTATCAACTTAATCCTACCTCTTACCCACTCTATCCTATTTCTTAATATTACATAAATATAGTGCATGTCTTACGACTACACTTACCTTGATTGGATATCAATTTGGATAATGGACTCGTAGATAGATGATGATTTGTTATGTTCCTTGTTGACGTTGATATTTTAAGTTAAATTAAATAAATAAAAAGTACTGATATGAGGGACAACATACTGAGTTTATTTCTATGATTTTAATTAATTATTTTAACAAGTGTACAAGTCTTATAATTATGATTAACAAAAGTAGCGGAATTTTACATTATTAACTTTAATATGAAAGAGTAAGAGTATGGGGGAATATTAAGTGAGAATGAAAATGAGAGTGTGTTGTGTGCTAATTTTCCTAGCCCTTTTATGTTAAACTAGTAGATAAGGTGATGAAGGGAGGCTAGCTTTTCTTAAGAGTTTAACTATTTTATCCTACTGTCTATTCGGCGCAACAAATACGCTTATGGTAATTAAAAAGATTGACATTAATGTAAACATCGCTCCAAATGAGCGATATATTTGTAAAAATTAATAAAATAATTGTCGGTCAGAAAAGTATTTAAAATTGATAATTATTTATGTGAAAATATTATTCTAGAAGTTTCTCAAATATTCTCGAAACTTCTGTTTTGATTCATTACACTTCAACTTAAATTATGTACCAAACAACATTAAACAACAACTTTAACTGAATTAAATCGCTTTACTGGTCTGCAGATTATTTGTGATACTCATTTTACATTAAATTAAATCTCATAGTATCAAATATTTAGTTACTATTTGAATTTTTTATGGCAAACTTAAACGTTATTTATTTAATTCATTAAAATTTTTATGTAAATGTTTTAGTATGATTTATAATTATTCCTAATAAATTTTTAACTTAACACAGTATTGATTATAGTTTAAAAATATTTATTTAACGTATAGTTAATAACTTTTGGTTTGTATACTGCTGAGTATTAACTTGATAGGAACTTATTTTCTTCTCTAATCTTAATTTTAAGATGAATGTTAAGTTAAAGTACAATGATGTGCAAAATTTCTTGTTCAATTTTAAGTAGTTAAGCTATACAACTTTACTCAAAGCTCAAATAAAAGATATATTACTCATTAATTTCCTTCAGTTGTTTATATATAATGACCTATATTTTACATAATCTTTCTCATATATTTTTGTAAATTTTGACACCAGTCAACTAATTGTGTAGAAATACATATTTTTGTATTGACTTAAACTGTTTGATCATATTCTTTATTATATTATTTTTAACTTCTTTTTATAAAAGTTCAAAAGTTGTTGATAAAAATTTTGTAATTTTGTAAATAAATAATGTATACTAATATAAATATTAGTATATAAGGTGATCAAAATATGACAAGATACTTGTTTCCTCAAAAACTATTGAAAATTTTAAACTTTTGAAAAGAGATCTTCATAAATATAACAAACTTATTTTTAACTATAAAATTAAAAGTATGGGTTATTCAAGCAATGACTTTTAATATTTATACTAAATTCAAAATTAATATTTATAAAATCAAAAACACGCACCATAGTTTATAAAATACAATTATATATTTTTTTTAATAAAAATAATTTTTAGTACAAAATTTATATTTGCTTATCCATTTGTATATTTTTAACGTTTTTGGATTTACATAATATGTTATTATGCGTCTTAGAAATTATAGTTCAAGGTAAATGATTAAACTTTTAGAATAAAATACCCTTGAAAATCATAAACTTGATAACTATTAGGAAATATTTACGTATATAAATATATTATATTTATACATATAAATATAATTGCGTAAATGTTCTATTGTCTATAGAATTAACCCGGTATTGCTATTTTTACTGAAAAGGAAATAAAAAAAATCAATTTCGTAAGTTTAATTTATGTTCTAATATATTCTTTTTGTTTATTTGAGTGTTTATGGATATTTTTTGTTTTTCAATCTGGTACGTATACAAATAAATCGGAAGATTTTCTGACGCGTAAGCTGGTCACCTACAAATGACTATGTGAGATCAAATTTTTTTCAAATCTAGCCCTCACTCTTTTTAATTGATTATCGATGTTGCGATGTTCTTTTGAAAAAAAATACATTAAGCACCGAAACTTTTTGCGGTTTTTTCCGATTTTGCTAGATTTGCTTAAAATATCAATCAACTATTTTAATATATAAAATATTTATAATATTTCGTACTAGTTAAACAATTTGTTGAGATCTAGAATAATCCAATAGAGTATAACGGTTGGAGACTGATTTCTAATAACAATACAGACAAATCATCAATCCGGGGGAGATTCTTAAGATTTTTAGGAAGCTTGGGCACCCTTCAAATTGTGAACTAAAAAAGTCTATATATACAATAAGCTACGAAGGCAAAACCTAATCATATGTATAATTTTTAGTTTTTATCTCTAAAAACCTCTTTTAATGATATGACTGTAATATTTAAATCTCAACGAACACGCAGCTACAACTACTCAACAAAATATCATCACAATTTCTTTAATGATATAGGAACGCTTACAGAAAAATTCTCAATTTTTCGAAAAAATGGNCTACTCAACAAAATATCATCACAATTTCTTTAATGATAATATAATATAAATATATATTTCTCATACAAAAGGAATATTATATATTTAAAATTAAAAATTTTCATATTTAAACAATTTATCTGATATTTCTCAATTTCCTTTACTAAAAATGCATAATATAAATAAATTATCAGTTTTGTAACTATGATTAACTATGACTCAAAAACTTCGAATATGGAGGATTTGCCTACGTTAATCGGTGGAGTGTAGTGATAGTGTAGGTAACAAATGAAAATTAATTCAAAGTTTAAAACAGGCAATAATCTTATAACTATAAATAATAATATAAATTTAATTTAATATATTTATTAACACATGTACTAATTATCACATATATATGAGTAGAGCAAAAATCATCTAAGGAATGTTTCCATTGTAGGGTATTCAAAACAACCATTTATTAACACATTTCAAATTAACTTCTTACAATTAATTAACTTCACCTACATTATTATTGGTTTCTATCATAATTAATCAATCACAAATAATTATACAATATCTCAGGAATTTCACAAGAAATCGCTGGCTTACTTTATCCAGAATTTAAAAAGCCATTTTTTTTTATAAAAATTCCTCCTCTCTGAGCTACTGCTCATGGTCAATATTTTCTTACAGTCATTTTAAATCCCCCCTGTGGATAGGTAAAGGGTCACATTTAAAAAAAATATATATACCAAATGATAATCAAATGCCTAATATATATATTAAAAAAAAAGTGTACTGATGCATACATTTTTCAAAAAGTTATGGCGTTTTAAGTAAAAAAATTGAAAAAATGTCAAAAATTAGCGATTTTTAAATTTGTAATTATTTTGGAGATTTCCCCCATTTAAGGGGACCGAGTGAATTTTTTCAATTTTTAAGGATAATGTCTTCAAATAGATTTGATTTGTGATATTTGACGTATCGTCAAAAGTCATCGGTTCGATGAGAGCTGATTAAAAGTTGTAACAGACACACACAACAAAAAAAAAAGAAACATATAATAATAAAATTAATACCTTCTCAGCTTCACATCGAAGCTAAAAGTTACTATAATTATTATTTACTCCATTGATTTTATTTTAAATTTATGTATTTCAAATTAAAAAATAATAATTTAGTTTTCTAATCAGTGTATGCGCGAAGAGTTTAAAAATTGCATTCTTACTTTTAATTATTTAATAATATAATTATTTTATTATAAAAATAATTTAGTGTATTTCTTTAAACATAATTTTGTTAATAGTATGATTTTAAAGAAAATTGTTAAGTTTAAAATTTTAATAATGACTCTTAAGTAACATTTAAAATTATATATATATATATCTTTTTTTATTTGAAATTAAGGCCGCATCAACAAAGGCCATTGGCCGTGATATGCATATCAAGTGTATATCACAATAAAATTATTTTATTTTTATTGCAATAAAATTATATTATAATACAATATTTATTGAAAAGAATTATTTATGGAAGAATTATTTATTATAATCAGCTAAGAGAAGTAAAAATTTTTGTATTTTCTTCATACATTTTTATATTAAAAATCTAATTATTAATATAACAATCACATGTGTATATACTCTGGTTTTTTCTATCTATATCTCAGACATATTGTAGCACAAGAAATTTTTTGATGGTGAGACTTGAAAAAGCATATTTTTTTATTTTCATTAATATTTCTAAAATAATTTCAACTCATATAAAAAGAAATATGACATATGATGTTTACCTCTGATGAACAGACACACTGGGTAAAATTAAATAATTTTATAAACAAAAAAGAATCTCAATTTTATTTTTATCAAAAATAATTAAATGACAAATAAAATTATTAATTTATTAAACAAAATTCAAGATATTCATAATTTTAATAAATAATTATATGTTTTTTTTCTTCTTTAAATTTTTTTTTTCTTTTTTGAAGTTAATTGAATTTACATTTGAGATCTTTTAAATACAATGACAAATCTTGTGTTTGTACCTAAAAAATATTCTATGATTAAATATTTTTTTAATTTGAAACATAAATAATTTTGCAAATATAATATAATTTACTTCCCTTAATTAATCATAAATATCAACTACCCTAACAGTGAATAAGCTTACTACCTCTTCTTATTAAAGTATTAGAAAAAGTCTTGCTAAAAAGATCAACTTTGTTAGCAAATTTTAAATGGTGTTAGCGTGAGTAGGTGCATCAAGTACTGGTGTATGTAAATCTGTCTGGATTCCATATCCACTCGATGTATTAAAATACTTGTAACTCAATAAATATTTGTCTTAAAATTGTTATAGACCCATTAAAATTTTTGCAAAATAAAAATGCTAAATATAATTTCCAAAATTTAAAAAAAAATGAGATTTTTTTATTATTATTATTTTTAATATAACACATTTTTTAGATTTATCTTAAGTTCAATACGTTTTGTTTCTACGTGTAAACTACAAGAATAACAATGGTTGTTTCATCCACCCAAGAACAATACTCTTTGGAGATGCAGCTGGTTTTACTCGCAACCAATGCCAAGTACTTTGAGATATATCGCGAATTTCGGTGGCTTTTTCCTCGGCGTTATTTCAAGACAAATGGCGATTTTGACAAAATATCATTTGCTGCTGATGTCCGTGAGATTGCGGGGTAGAAAATGCACAGCGAATAAGTGTCGAATCAGCCACTGCCGGCGAAGGACATTTTTCAGCACGTTGTTGAGTTGTCTGTTAAATCTAAGAACTCGCTGCGTTTGTTAAGTTNTTAAATCTAAGAACTCGCTGCGTTTGTTAAGTTCAGAAGATGAAAAGCGTTTCATAAAAATGGTTTTATCAAACGATGCCGACTTATCTTTGGAGACATTTGATGGGTGTCAGTACTACTTAATATTCTCCATAGGCACTAGGTATCTGTTTCAGTTATCGAAGACGATAAGCGTTTCGTTTTAAGAGGATGTCGTATGAGTGATGTCACTTCCTACCTGCTTGGCCAACGAAAGTATGACATAAACGCGACGCCGTAGTTGTCGAACGCGCTCAAGACATCCCCAGCTATCAAGTGTTGCGGTAACAACAGTCTAAATGATGAACTTAAAGCAGTACTTGTGTTCCGTGTCCCGGATGGATCTTGTTGCCATAAACCGTTGACAAAAAAACGAGGCCTTGTTTTTGTTGGTATTATCCAAGACAATTCGAAAGGCGATTGCTAAGTGCAAGCCGGTATTGCAAGTAAAACCAACTCCTAGAGCTACAAAGCCGCTGATTGTACGGCATAGACAGCCTGAAGCTTTTAATCGACGTGCCAGTAGAAGGGATAGGCCTACTAACTCATATTTTACAGTACTTAGTTGACCATTCCAAATGTTACAAGTGATATGACATCATGGATACTAGGTAACTGATCATTTATAAATATTCATGCCAGTCGTAAGAGGCGACTAATAAGGTTGCGTCAGGTCGATAGCCGGCGTAAAAATTATTGTCAAAAAAGTATGAGGAATCCTGAACAAAACTTAGGAAAGGTAAATTCTACAAAACTGTAGTGAGACCAGCTATGATTTATGGTTCAGAGTGTTGGGAGGTCGATAAGAAAGTACAGCAGAGAATGAGTGTAGCAGAGATGAGAATGCTTAGATGGATGAGTGGAGTGACTAGAGAAGATAGGATAAAATATGAGCATATAAAAGGGAGTATAGGTGTAGTATCAATTGTGGATAAGATGAGAGAAAATAAATTTAGATGGTTTTGTCATGTTATGAGAAGAGAAGAATCAGAAGGCGTAAGAACAGTTGTAGAAATTAATGTTGAAGGAAGAAGAGGTAGAAGAAGACCAAAAAAGATAAAGAGATGTTATTGAATGCGATTTCAGGACAGCTGATGTGAGCGTAGAGGATGTGAGAGATCGTGTCAAATAGAAATTTAGGATAAGGGTGGCCGATCCCCAAGTAATTGGCGAGGAAGAAAAAGAAGAAGAAGATTTTTTATTAATATTAAATCATAAATAATTGTCCAAAAAATTATTTTTAACATAAATAGTATAATTCATTAATGATTAGATACCTATTTTTCTGCCAACTATTAAACATTTTATTACATAAAAAAATGCCTTTTTACTCACTGACGATGTCGTTGCATCAAAGATGTAATATAAGTCATTTTTTACAAATGTAATAATATTATCATTGGAACTAAAAACAGCATCTATACTTGCTGGCACACTTTTCCAATCACTTAAAGGTCTAGGATACTCATTGGATACTGAAGGTTTTTTAGTTGGGTCATAGACCCAGTATTTTTCACCTAAAAATATAAATTATGATATATATTTTTAATAGTAAAAATAGATAAATTCAAATACCTTTAAAAAAATATATCTTGTTATTAAAACTCATTGCACTGTCAATATTGTTAGGTATACCAATGAAATCAAATGTTATTTCCCTAGGAAATCCTTTATCTATAGAAGTATCAGTAAATCTCCAATATTTAGAGCCTTTGAAAAAGTAAGTTTGGCCGTTCTTATGAATAAATGCTGCATCAATATTGTTTGGTAATCCTATCCATTTATCAGAAATTAGTTTTGGATATGGTTCTGCTAATCCAATTCGGGTCCATTTCCAAAAACTATCATCTATCAAAAAAAGAAAAATACTAATTTAATTTGGATTATGATAAATTAATTATCAACTAAGATTAATAGTATACAATTACATGGAATATATAAGCATTACGTGTAACATAATACTAAATATGTTTTAATATATACATATACATACATACAGAATATTCAAAAAGTAAGGAAACGGGTCGATTGTTACGTATAATGAGTGTATTAAGTAACTACTCAGGCGACAATTAGTCAATTGAAGGTTTACGTCTTTGATGATCTTTGTAAAGTCAAATTAAAATAAATTTAATTAATAAATCTAATATTTTGTGAAGTATATTTTATGCTATTAACAAATTACAACAATAACAATCATTGATAGTTTAGTCTATGATTAGTAACTTAAACAACGTAAGATAATATAGTATTATTATATCTCATATTAATATTTTTAACAGCTAAGTCGATTTGGCACGACCAAACATACTCCTGCCGTTAAAAGTTTTCTTTCAAATTTTCTCTGGAGTCATTTTTTTGGTCAAAACATTTATTAAACATAAATAAAAGACTTATATGTATAGAGAGACAGTGTTCAATAAGTAAGGAAACAAGTCAGTTGTTACAAATAACACGGTACCGCCTCGCTTCCAGATACATGATGCCCCGTGACTCGTGCCACCTTTGTCAGCCGTCGCCCTAATATGAATATTTAACTGACCAACATATTGCATATTGCATATTGTCATATATGCAAAGTCTAGCAAGTGTTGCACGGACGACGGCGACCCGCCGCAAACGATACGTTGAGTCTTCTTGTTGTTGTCAAAGTGACAACGTCGAGAATGTACGCCACCGTCCCCGGGCGTGCCACACGACCGGATTCGACGAACCGGTTCGCATCTGCACACCGTCGCCATCAACGCTGCTAACTTTTCGACGCCAAGGATCATGCCGGACACCGCGTCGCCAACGCAAGCGAAAGTGCCGCAATATTATGCGAAGATTATTATTAACTGTGTTCGCCCTTTCAGTTTGTTTGTTTTTTAAATAATCTGTTGTTACTTATTAATAAACATCCCATGGGTCTCTATCCCAAAACCAGTGTCGACTACATTATTGTGACGTAAGTCGTGTCACAAACAATGAGAACAGTAGAAACCCATTTCATTACTCTTTAAACATCCTATATATATATAATTGAATGAACTTAAGCAATATTGTGGACCGAATAATTTAAGAACCAAACTAGAATAAATACTTATTATTATACTTCATTATAAAAGAGCGCATAGAGATAAGGAGAAAGAAAGTTTAACTAGTAGTTTTATCAACCTAAACACAGGCTGCTTTAAGACGCTGTCCACTGTCTTAACGGTAACGAGACACACTACGTTATATTGACTCAGGTAAACATCCATGACTTTTCCAAGTGGCCATGACATAATTAGCTGGGTTAGTGAATTTAAGATATCATGCTCTATATCTAATGCTATCGCTTTGGAAGTAAAATTTGGTGTTTTGAATTTTCTGACATTAAGGCATGTTTGATTTTTCTACCAACGTGAATGATTCCTTGTGGATCTACAAATAGTGCTTACTGTGCAAGTGTACTTTGCGTTATTGAGGAGTCCGTTTGTGACAAGAGTGTGATCCAATTCTGCTCTCTCCAATGGTCCACGCTGATTACTTTTTCTGATTCTTAAACAATATGCAATCTTTCTTTGAATTTTCTACAATGATGAGCATCGTGGAATAAGAACATCCAATACTTCATTCTTTTGAGTATGTAAGCCTTTGCGTTGCTTTCAATTCCGCTAAGTCTTCTAGAGTCACCATTAACAAGAACATTGAAGCCATTTATTTTTTCCCTATTGAAGAAACTGTGATTCCTTGACATGTAGTTCGCAGACCTACAATTCCACTGGTAATAAAACACGTGATACTGGTTCCGACTTATTATTTTTTTAATTATTATATGCTCATTTCAATTATGGTAATAATTTGCAAATTTCGTGATTCTGTTCATAACGAAAACTTTGAATTACTTAGTCTCGTGATTAAGCCTAGATCCACTGCCGCAAAGCATGCAATGGCACACTTGTACGCAAGTGACACCATTCACGACCATCGCACACACTACTCTAACAGCAACCTGTTAGGGCAGGTCACGGTCATAACATGACAAACAAAATACAACAACAAAATACGAACTCTCACTGTACCATCCCGATTTGGCACGATAAAATTATTTTAATCTATTTTTAATCACTTTAAGTATCCGATAGAACCAGTATGATAATATACTAACATTATATTAACAATGTTTAACTAATTATGTCAAAAAAGAATCAAACTATTAAAAGTTGAAAAATAAGAATCATCCTAAAAAAATTATAAAAATTAAAGAATGTTAAAAGAAACAATTTAAAATAAAAAATCGTGAAAATGTCTTACCCTTAAACATATAAATTTCTCCTGAGTTTGATATAAATATTGTATCAATATTAAAAACTTTACAATGTCTATTATTAAAATTATCAACACTATTATTTTGATTAGAAGTGTGTCTTTTAGATATTTGTTTTTCATATGAATCCATCACGTTATTCTCACCATACAGTTCCTGTGGTATATTTTTTAATTATTAAAAAAATAATGTAATGTAATTTATTTTAGTACGGCAAATTAGTTTAGTTTATTACAAAAAAAATTTGAATCCGACAATGTTTTAATTATTTATCTATTTTTTAAAAAGTGTGATTAGACCTATAATATTATAGATATAATTACTTGAATGCCTTCAATATCATCATTTTTTAATTTAGCACTTGGATGGTATCCTGGGTAAACTGGTCTCATCACTGCAAATTTCACTCGAGTATGATCTAATCCTAACATATGGCCAAATTCATGTAATGCTACTTGGTATAAATTTGTTCCTATAAATGTAATTATTAATTATTATCATTTTCATATTTAAAAAAAAAAAATTCTAATCTTTTATTTTAAAATGTAAAACATTTACATATTTGTTGCTATTAAAATAAAAAATTTAACGTTTTAAGTGTATTGACAGGGGTTGAAACTTTCAACACTTGTTTCAAATTGAAAGCTCGTCATTGAAAATGTACGGGAAATCGTGTAAAAAAATGAGTCATGGAACGGGTTAGGTCCTGCGACCCAAAGCAACAAATTATACTACTGAATGAACATGAATCATAAATTCAGAAGAAGAAAATATACACTCCTATATGAATTGACAACGTGATTTACAGCTAAGGAAATCCCTTAATACAATTAAAATGATTATAATAGACTAAATTATTGCCTTAAAAGTTTTGGGCAGAATGAGGAAGCAAGATAACAATAATTAAAACTATTTAGTAATATTTATTACTGAGCCAGTATTCTTTTTACATTATTCAGTTAAAGTTATGTTATAAAAATCATTAATTTTACCTTTTTTTGTTCCCGTTGTCCATATTTCAGAATCATCAAAATGTACATTGTCTCTACTTGGAGTAAGAGTGTGAGCAAAAACACCCAATTTCCCGTCAAATGGATTTATGTCACCATGATCATGTGCTCTAAATGCTATGTTAATATGTACCTTTAGACGTAATAACAAGTTATACAACTGGTTAAAAAACCATTTTATTTTTTATGAAGCAACATTAATTAGTAATTTGTAAGCGTCAAATCGTAAAATGAATATATAAGAGCATATAAAAAGGCGTAGAATTTTTTTAATTTATACAAATTTTCAAAAATATTTCTTGTGATATTCTTATAAAAATGAGGTCATTCGAAAACAAAAGAAATTAAGTGACTATATTTGGTCCTGTTCTTGAGAAAATGTATGGTAGGCAATAAACTGCAAGCTACCTGAAGCGCATCTGTAACTCTAAATAGGAAGTGAGCTGTATATAAAAGAAGGGAGGAGTCATTTGACCAAAATACAAGAACCACAAATCACCTACGCTAATCGGAAGTTATAGATGGCCAAGTAATAAGTAGCTATATAAAAATAATAAAAATAGATGATATCTGACAGTGATTAAAATCACTATCATAAAAAACGCTTCGATGCAAATCTAGATAGTCTTTAATTTAAGAAATTGGTTGATTATTCTAAAAGCAAAATTAACTCCTATTTCTATCATTATTCCTAATTAGTAGTAAATATATAAGTATAATTTATGAATAAATATGTATTAAAACAATTCAATGTAGTATAAAATTGATAATTAATAATTTAGTATTATAATTTTTTCGGAGAATTTATAAAAAATTATAAATTAATTATTACTTTTATGGAAAACATATATACAAATTGAAGGGGTTGATACAGAATTTTTTATGTAATAATTTTTTGTTAATTATGAATAAATAGTCTGCAAAAACTTTTCATCAGAGTAAAAAAGATACTTTTATTATTCAATTTTTCGTCCTAATTTCAAATCAGTAATATATGTTTTCCATCACCAATCATTTTTGATATTATTAATAATTAGTTAAAAACTATAGCATATAACTATAAGGGAAATAGTTCTGAATATTTCAATTGTATCATCACCAAGAGTTACATAGCAATTATTAATATTTTTTTTTGATAGAATTTATTATGATAAAAAAAAAAAATTAAAAACAATAAAATTGTTTTTAAATTATAAAAATTTTGATATCTAATATTTTAAAAATAATTAGTGCAAAATATAATTTTTAACCTATTTTTTTTTGGTATTTTAAAGTTGATTTTTTAAATTTTATAATAAAAAAAGTTGAATTTGTTACCATAACTTTTAGCTCAATTTCAAGTTTGAAATTTACATTATTAAATAGAAAATTTTATGAGATAAAAAAATAGTATTGTTATGATTAATATGCAGTTACGAAATTGTATAATTACTATTTACTGTAAATTTATCAGAAAAGCTTAATATTTTGTTTGAATTTTTATTGTAATAGATCACTTAAATAGAAATCATAGTAATCATTTCTAAGTAATTTTTGGTGTTAAAAAATATTCTACAATTGAATCATTCAGAAAATAATTAATTTTAATGATTTACTTTAACTAAAAAAAACAATCAAAATGTTGTTAAAAAAATCTACATAATTGAGTACATTATAAAATTTGATTATAATTGTAAAATTTGTTAAATTAGGTGCAAATAAAAATCATTTTTTTTAGATTTATGATTTATATAGAAACATATTACCAAAAAATTAGAATATTATAAACTGTTAGTAACACACAAATAAAGTTAAAAATTAATATATTACAAAGTAAAATGATTTACTTTTGTAATTGAAATCTATTATCATATCAAGCCTAATTCGACAATAAATACTTTAAAAATATTAAAAATGAAAGATTTTAATTATCTATATGGAGAATGTGAGCTAAGTAAATTTAAAATTGATAAATTGGAAATTTATTAGGGTAATATCTTTAACTAAAATATAGTGGTGATCATTTGATGTATTGTTAAAAAAAGTTGGTCAAGTGTGACAGCTGAGAAAATAAATAAACCTTTAATATGAATAAGATATTTCTTCAAACAAGGAGGGACTACAGCGAAATTTTTTTCTAACTCAAAAAATTTTGTAAGGTATTTTTAAATAAAATAAATACAAAATCGAGAATTTTACACACAAAAATAGCATAAGGTAGTCATTTTCACTGCGAAGACAAAATAACATGCGAAAAGTTTTTTTCCCATAATAAAGTATATTATATAAGCTTTAATTTAAAATATATATATAAGTTTCAGTATTTCTGGATGATACGGCTCGCGTCGCTTCGTTATACAAGATGCCCCGCGACTCGTGTCACCTTTATCGGTCGTCGCCCTACTATGAGTATTTGACTGACCAACACCGCGTGTCATACGCTACGGTGCAAAGTCCAGCAAATGCCGCACGGCCGACGACCACCCGCCGCAAATGATACGGGAGTCTTCTTCCCGTTGTTAGAGTGACAACGTTGACGAACCGATCCGCAACGTCGCCATCAACACTGTTAACCTTTTGACGCCCGAGGATCACGCCGGACATCGCGTCGTCGACGCCAGCGAAAGTGCCGCGATATTATGCGAAGATTATTATTACAGTGTTCATCTTTTCGGTTTGTTTTATTTTTTTGTTAAAATAACCTGTTGTTGCTCATTAATAAACGGTCCACGGGTCTTAACCCTCAAAACCAGTGTCGACCACATTTTTGCGACGTAAGTCGTGTTATGGAATACTTCAAAAGTTAAGTTGAAAAAGTTCATTTTTTATGAAAAAGTTGTCATTTTGAATTCTCCCTTGTGGGTAAGTAAATTAAATTTATAAAAAAAATATACCAAATGATAGNAGGGTCATATTTATAAAAAAAATATACCAAATGATAGGTAAAGACATCAAGCTTTTTGAAAAAGTTATGGCAGTTTTAAGTAAAAAAAATTNTTAAATTTATAAAAAAAATATACCAAATGATAGGTAAAGACATCAAGCTTTTTGAAAAAGTTATGGCAGTTTTAAGTAAAAAAAATTGAAAAAATTAGCGATTTTTAAATTTGTATTTTTTTTTAAAGATTTTTAATACGATAGACAGATTTTCAATTTTTGAGGGTAATGTCTTCAACTAGATACGATTTGTGATCTTTTGTGAACACTAATAAATTTATCGTTTGTATTGCAAAATATTTTCAATATATAAAACATACTCAATGTAAAACTTTCAAAAACATCTTGGACTAAAATTATTTTTGATAAAAATTGAGTAATGAAAAAAAAAAAGACTAATAACTGTGTTTATAGAATGAAGACTTAATGAAGACTTAACTGGGAGTCATACAAACAAGTTAGTGAGCGTAATACAAAAAAAAAAAGTAGCCCTAAGTACCTGTCTACTTAATTGAAATACAAATTTAACGTGGCTATTTAAAGCAAATTTGAACTAATAACATTAATACAATAAAAGACTCACAGAATCATAGTAATTATTTCTATGTAACTCTAGATGTTTAAATATATTCTACAATTAATATATTTAGAACTGAACTAATTTTAATGATTTATTTGAACTAAAAATCAAAATGTTCTTAAAAAATTATACTTAATTGAACGTATTATAAAAATTGATTATAACTGTAAAAATCCATTATAAAATAAGGTGAGCCTAAAAATCTATTATTTAGAAATTATTTGTATAGTCATCAAAAAATTGTATACACATTTCTTTTACTTTAATGTCCATTTGGAGATAAGTCTAGAGGTCAAAATTTTTTTTTTTATTTTAAGTATATTACATATGCTTTAATTTAATGTATATATATATAAGTTTCAGTACTCCCTGGAAAATTTTCAAAAGATAACTTGAAAAAAATAATGTTCTGCAGAATGTTGCAATTTTAAAGTTGCAAGTAAAAGGTCATTAGTAAATAATATTTTTTTAGTTCATTTTTTACGTTTAATGCTCTTAAAATAATTTTTCATTTTAAAATCGAACAAAAATCAGAATCTTTTGGTCATTATGTATCCATTTAGGATGTACGAAAACCAAATAAAAAAACCCATCACAGGAGGGTCGTGGCACAGTGGTGACATGGTATAGATGGATCAAGTATAATGATATCTAACAGTGATTAAAATCACTATAAAAAAAAAAACGCTTCGATGCAAATCTTTNTTTAATCACTATAAAAAAAAAACGCTTCAATGCAAATCTTTTGATAGTGTTTAATTTTAAAAAATTGGTAATTATTCCAAAAGCTACATGATCTGCTAGTTCATTATTAATATCCTAATTAAGATAAAGTATGCAGAATGAAAAAGGGATTATTAAAAAATATTATTTCTCATAAAAAAATAATGTTGATCCATACACTTTTCAATATGTCATAGCATTATAAAGTTAAAAATGTAAAAAATAAAATCGAGAATTTTCACACAATAATAGCATTCGGTAGCCATTTTCACCGTGAAGATAAAATAAAGTCCGAAATTTTTTTTTCGCATAATAAAGTAAATTACATTAGCTTTAATTTAAGATATATATAAAAGTGTCAGACCTTCCGGAACATTTTCAAAAGTTAAGTTGAAAAAGTTAATTTTTTGTGAAAAAGTTGTCATTTTAAATCCCCCCTTGTAGGCAGGTTAAGGGTTAAATTTATGAAAAAAATATACCAAACAAAAGATAATGATATTACACATCTATATAAAAAAGAATTATATTGATATGTTTATTTTTGAAAAATTTATGGCACTTTTAAGTAAGAAAAATTGAAAAAAATTCGAAAATTGGCGATTTTTAAATTCGTAATTTTTTTGGAGGTTTCCCCCATTTACGGGGAACGAGAGAATTTTTTTCAATTTTTGAGGGTAATGTCTTCGACTAGATACAATTTGTGATCTTTTGACGTATCATTGAAAGAAATTGGTTCGGTGAGAGCTGAGAAAAAGTGGTAACAGACANGACGTATCATTGAAAGAAATCGGTTCGGTGAGAGCTGAGAAAAAATGGTAACAGACAAAAAAAAAACACACATCTTAATAAAACCAATACCTTCTCAGATTCGCATCGAAGCTAAAACAGCAATTACTGGAGTTTTGAATTATGAG